GCGGAACCGGAAACTAGCATATCAGCACGTATTATGCACATCTTAATTTGTTACCAACAACCCAAGGGATTTCCAGGTGGTCCTGCGGGATGGGCTGCGCGCGTCTGATCCAGGGTCACATCTGGCGGTCGCAAGTTCAAGTCTTGATATGTCATTAAAGGGGTTATTCTCGAACGGCTTGGGGTTCGAATAACTTCTCCCCCGATTGAGACTCAAACTCGGGCCAGGAAGAAAATCCCAGCCACGCCGAACAATTTTTTGGTTTAATTAAATGATTGATTTATTTAGTTATAAATTTTTTCAACCTCTTTGGGTTTCTTTTTTCCAACTTGTTTGGTGTTTTTTTTTTTAAATTGATTGACTAATTTTTTTTTTGCCAATTTGTTTGTATTTTTTTGTTGTTGCTGTGTTTGATGTTTCGGATAAACTTTTCCCTTATTGCTGTCGATCTTACAGATTTTTTTCTCCTTTATCGAGACTTGTTTGTTTTAAGTCTAAGCCTTCTTTTTCCCGAACTTTAAGACTTTTAAGACCGAGGCAGTTTGCCTAAATGATTTGTTAGTGGGGTGCAATTCCATCACTCGGTTTTCCAGCGGCCAATAGGGACATAAACAATTCTAATTGTTTAAAAACAGCTTTTAGTGGCAGGCGAGGGTAACACTGTAAAACTGCCCTTTTTGTAAATTTATTAGAAACAGTGCTTCAGTTTTCATGCTTTTACACTTTATAACTATCCTTTTGCTTTCACGCGAGTTTACTGAATAGAATAGGGAGTGAGCATGAATTAAACTGCAATAATGTTTTGGAATTGAAATGGTTTCCATTTTCATAATCGTTTAGCTATCGAAAAGTCATCCGCGCTTTTTAATGGGTTCTTGTCAATTTCCAAATTATTGTTGGGTTATTTTGATCTTGGGTAAGTTTTAAATCTTTCCAAATAATGCCTTAACCATTCTTTGGTGATGTATTTTTGGATGCATCATTGATGCATAGGTAATGAAATAAAATTCTCACTGTTTCGTATCGCACTGTGCAAATGATTACAATTACTTCATTGTGACTGGCTGAGAGCAGGCCAATTTATCGTTAATTCCGCTTTTAAAATTTGCACTGTAGGGCAAATTAACGCGCGCACGTTCGCAATTTTCTCAGTCATGTAATAAATGAGTAATCGTGATATTTGAAAATTCTCTGAAATTACATTCGCCTAAAATCTCCTGCAATTTTGAGAGAATTTTCAAATAATCATCACTCGTAGTGTAAATCCTTAATTTGAACTCGCAGTCATATGATTACCTATACATAAATATATATCACATACGGTCAGCTAAGTGATAAATCGACAGAAGAATATTTATCATTCTGTCAGTGTCACGCAAGGACTCTCTTAAGAAAAAAAAAAGAATTTTCCACTTCTCTCAAAAACATGTGCTCTGATATTGGAACAGGCGTTTAATAACAGAATTAGACAAATCCTCTTTGTTTCGGAATTAAATGCCAAGAATCCTGCGCCATGAAGCATTCCCTTAGACAGATTTCACGATTAGGGAAAAAAAATCAAGTTGATACATAAATATAATTCAATTTCCTGAGTAACTGTATAAAAGCAATGTCGCTTAGACTTTAAAACGTTTGTCGCGCGACAAAAATAGTTTTAATGCAAAAACGATCGAGTCTCGGAGACGCCAGATTAACCGAGAGCCATCGATAGGGATCTGGTGATACTTTCATATTTTCCGAGCTGGGAGGCGAAATATTGACAGTTGTTAATAGCCGTCTTTTGCTTGAATTGTTCCGAAACAATCGCGTGTATTTAATCTCACCATCAAAACGTGGTATGGATCGCATTTCGATAAATTTATCATTATGTCTGCCGGTGATTGAAACGAATGGGCTTGCGGTGTGAGATTTCAAGGGCGCTTGGAACATGTTACCATTGAGTCGCCGTTGTAAGTTTTAACAAATTAATAAGCTTTATTTCCACACGCCATCCTTGGCTGAAATTAAATACAAATACGTTGATGTGAATGGTAATCTTTTGAAAGCGAGAGGGTTTCTTTCACGAGAAAGAATCTTAGTAAACAAAGATTGCGTGATGCAACATAAGTACAGTTTCCGGTTTCACGGTGTTATCAGAAACGTTTTTATCAACAGGAATTTTGGAGCCGAAGTGTCTTACCGATGTGTCGGAAACTTGTGATGAAGTAAAGGTTTCAAGAGTCGACTAAAACAGTCCAATTTAGCTTAGCATAAACGACATTTCACTTCAGATTAAAATTTCCAATCAACGTAGAGGAAGACGATTGCACTCAGTTGAGAGCGCGAATAGAATTCACGGCGTCTGCTCGGATGACAAGATTACTTGAAATCCGCCTGTAAAAATAATTATCTTCAAATGCGTAAATAAATATGCAACGGCAAGAAAGCCTTCAAAACAAGCCCAGAGCAGGAGAGGACCAAGGACAGGCGTCGGATTTCAAGTAAAATAGTTTTGTGTAGTGTAAACATTTCTGGCAATCTTCACATTGGATACGTCTCGCAATCACTGTCAAAATACCTACCTACGAACGCAACAACCTTCCCTCGACTTCAGAAAGACGCGCTTCAACTATTTGTTTTATTGTAAGGCGAGGAATTTGCCTTCAATTTAGCGCCAAGGTTTATATTTTGGCGAGTTTGACTTTGGCCACGATTTCCGCGGCGCTGAATATGCTGTAGACTGGATGGAAAAATCTGATAACGACGGATCTTGAAGAGTTGTTTAATTACCGCGTTGAGCGAAATTTTAGCTGTGACAGCGAGGAGGACATTTGTCGGGGGACGCGGGCTGATCACTAAGCGATAAAGCTAAGCATTCTTTTACGGGTTTAAAACACGGAGGTCCAACACGACACACGACATTTGTTCTTTGACGATCATTTGTGCGAAGCTCGGAGCGGTGAAACTCCAGCGTTGTACCGTCATCTGGCAATTACCATATCACAGACTTTTGAAACAAGTAACATCTTGAAACACGGCGGTATTTGACTATGGCGGACGAACATGATACTATGGCGAACCAGTCTTGGGTTTATGTCGATGACGAACTAGAGAATTACTCCGAAAGCCTGCCAGCACATGCGATTTTTCAACTGATCCTCTTTACGGCAATCTTCGTGGTGGGATTCTTCGGCAATTCCATCGTTATTTACGGCGTTCTTCAACAAGGCTCGTCTAAAACTACAAGCAGCTGTTTCATCGCGAATCTGGCCTTGAGCGATTTAGCTGTGCTGGTGCTAAGCCTACCTGTAGGTCTCCTACAAGAACTTGCTTCATGGCCGTTCGGCGAGGTTGCCTGCAAGATTTTCTTTCCCCTCGGCGACGTGTTTTTGACTGTCTCCCTTATGACCCTCACAGCCATTGCGCTGGATCGCTACCGTGCGATAGTCACGCCGTTTAAAAAACGCGTCAGCAAAACTCAAGCGAAAGTCTGCATCGCTCTCATCTGGATCTGTAGTTACCTAGTGGTTGGAATTCCCACTTCGTTCATTCTTAAACTTGTCTCGACGGACGGAGTGAAAATCTGTTACCCTTTTTGGAACACCGACATGGAGAGGCAGATTCACAAAATCCTCATTGCTTCGTTAGCCACTCTACCACTCCTACTTATCGGTTACTGTTATTTTAGAGTCGTTATCGCGCTGTGGAAAGTCAGAATTATTTACCGGGATTCTGCCAAGAACTCGCTGACAACGATTCGCCTTGAACAGAAACGAAAACTGGTCAAAATGCTTATAGTCATCGTGATTGCATTCAGCGTGTGTTTGCTGCCGTACATAACTTTCGCGCTCGTGTTGGAGTTCGCGGGAATTGAGCGATCTCCCTCCGTAAATGTGGGTTTGGTAGCAGTTCTGTCGCTGCTCTATGCAAATAGCGCAATAAACCCGTTAATTCTGTGTACCATGAGCAAAGATTACAGGAAAGGACTACGACCTTGCGGATGTTAAAGTCCACAGACTTCTAATTTAGAAATAAAACGCGATGCTGATGTTGTCTACATAGGATATTTTAGAAAAAAAAATTAATTCTTTATTCGTTTATTAGTTCCGATCATGTAGACTATAGTTTTCTTAAAACGGATTGTTGTAAGTTATTTCTTCATGAATGCTGTAAAATGATACGAAAAGAACCTTTGAAGTTGTAGATTTTTTGTAATGTTTGTTTTTCTTCAGCTGAGATACATGTACTTAAGGCCTGACTGCTTTAAATAAACACGGTGAAAATATTATATTTGTGTATCAAACAAAAACGAAATGGCTCGCTTTCTAATTTTTTTTTATAAACAGCTTTATTTACCAGTTTAAGGTAACTATTGTCAGAAGGTGGGATTTGTATTAGGATGGTGTATCTCGCTTATAAAAGCCTTATTATGATTTGCTTACAGACGAAGCATTGAATATTTTCAAACAAAACATAATTACTGCCGCAAAAGATCACTCCATTCAATTTGTAATTTTAGTCCAAGAGCTGAAACGTAATAAGTTTAATCCAATTAAAATCTCTTTTCGAGATTATTCAAAAGACTTCTTTAATTCTGAACCAGATCGTGTATGATTTCTTGAAAAGTGAAGACAAATCAAGGCAAGACTTGAGTTGAATTGCAACTAACCCCTAAAATTCACCTTCTTTTGTTAAATAAACCCTAACTCACACTCTTGACTGAGGCATGATCTTAAACAATAATTAACAGATTTTATTTGAAATCAGTTTGGGTGTAACAAAATCACCTTAAATAACATGACCTGCACCTCTTTAGTCTCAGTTTACCAAATCGCTGTCATTGATGTCAGATCGTTTAGCCACGATTTTATGTTCACTCTATAATCCATTGACGGATGTCGCATTGAGAAAAGTTTAGCCGAAATTTTTGCAAGTTCGTAATCCTTCTAAATCTTTCCTAATTCTTTATTTTTTTGGTTTAGTCTTTGGTTGCGTTAGTAAATTATTGTTTTGAGATCTTTTTGAGTTACCTTGGACCTTGCAGACGCTGTCGTGAAAGTTGCCTAATACTGCAACAGGTTAATTAAATGTCTGGAAACAGCACGGCTGCACACGGTACCCTTTGAAGCGATAATTAGCCCCTTGTGACCTGAATTAACCCATCATTTCCTCACAATGCCAAACTACGCCAACAATTTTTCTTAAGTTTTAAAACGTTGATTTCATCTTGCGAAAAACTAGCACCACTACATCCGAGTATAACTCAAGAGCTTTCATTTGAATGGTCACACTTAAGAACTTTATCAACAGGTTTGAATGCTAAAAATAGTGCATGACTTTATGATGATAACATGTATGGGAGCAGACATGTTTTGTTTTTATCGCACTGCATAGGACAGAAAAATCATGCACCAGAAGGCATGCTGATACCGATAATATTAACCTCAAAGGAAGTTTTTTTAAAAAAAACCTCTAGGCCGGTAGTCTCGGGTGTTTTTTTTTTTTTTCTGGAAGTCTCTGTAGTCTGTGCCGAAAGTAGTCAGTGATCCATACTTGGTAGCTCTTGGTGAGTACACTGAGGATTGTATCAAACTAAGCTCAACCTCGGTTAGGGTCGGATTGAAATCAGTTCCTTGTTTAGAAAGTATTGGTCAAATATTAAATACGCGACGAGAAATTTAAAACAACCTAGCAATGCCTGTATTCCTGCAAGGAATCGTAGTGCACAACATGGAACTGAATGACTGACCTAAAACAAGAGACTATTGCCTAAAAGAGGCACTTCGTCGACTCTTCAACTGAAATACGCAGAAGTTGAGAACAACTGTCAGTGGGAGAGATTTACCTTTTCCATTCGCAAATCGAGAATTACTTAAACCTAGGCCATGGCCTACGTTGATTAACATGAAACCGTGGCTACGAATTTCTATATTACGTCTTTTATGGGAATTACCAAAAACATAAACGGCCATAGGATAGTTATTAATCAGAATAGGGTCATTTATTTATTTTACTAAAACGAAATTTTCAGAATGAAGTGATCAAAAACAGAGATGCCGTCTAGTGACAGCTCCTAACGGACAAACTTCGGCCTCACTTTTTGGCGTGATTATGTAACCTGCATACCAACGAATCTAAATACTACACAACTACTTTACAATAACGACGTCGAAAATGATATTTGATATGTGGGGCTAATAACAATAACCTATGTTCGATATATCAAAATTCTTACATGGCTACGGGTTTTTTTTCCAAAATTGTAAATTTTCTATGATTCTTTAGTCTGGTAATTAACTATGCTGGGGCCGTTTATGTCTGATCTCTAAACGAGATGTCCTCCTCCTACTTGGGTTTTCTTTCCTGTACTAAGTTAGAAATTATTTTGTTTTCGTTTCACTGCAGAGTAATTAGATAATAGAAGAGTTTACCCTCTACCAAATGATCAAACAGTCATGGAATTCTAAACGCTCGACGTTATGTATAAAACAATTAATACACTGAAATATTAGACCCAGCCTTAATTTTTGTCGTTTTTATAAAGCCGCCCAACCACAAATCATGGTGAAGACAACCTACATCCGTAGACAGATCCGCAAATGCAAATTTGAAGTTTGTACTTCGGTCCCCCAAAATGCTGCTTTGTATAAGCAATGTGTGGCATCAGTCTTCTTGCGCGAAAACTTTTATGTCAGGGAACGAAATTAAATTTTGTCGAGAAATGTACAAGGTCACACGACAGCGGGCCAAGATAGTAGACTTTTGAACCAAAATTCTAAACTATTAGGAGCAATAATGAAGTCAATATGGCTTGATAGCAGTTTTTAAAATGTAGCAGTTTAAAAACGTTGTCAGCGTTAGGGTGATAACAAGCTCATAAATCAAATGATAAGTAAAGTACGGCTAAATTCTGTGATCAAAATTCGCTGCGTTCACAAAACAAGTGACGTCAGGAAAAACTAATCGATAACGTAAGCTTCCGCTAAACAGATTACAACAAAATAACCGCAGTATCGCACATTTTTTCCTTTGAAAACAACAATTATATTTACCTTCCCTCCCCACTCCCTCTGCGTATTTCAATGGTNTTTTTTTTTTTTTTTTCTGGAAGTCTCTGTAGTCTGTGCCGAAAGTAGTCAGTGATCCATACTTGGTAGCTCTTGGTGAGTACACTGAGGATTGTATCAAACTAAGCTCAACCTCGGTTAGGGTCGGATTGAAATCAGTTCCTTGTTTAGAAAGTATTGGTCAAATATTAAATACGCGACGAGAAATTTAAAACAACCTAGCAATGCCTGTATTCCTGCAAGGAATCGTAGTGCACAACATGGAACTGAATGACTGACCTAAAACAAGAGACTATTGCCTAAAAGAGGCACTTCGTCGACTCTTCAACTGAAATACGCAGAAGTTGAGAACAACTGTCAGTGGGAGAGATTTACCTTTTCCATTCGCAAATCGAGAATTACTTAAACCTAGGCCATGGCCTACGTTGATTAACATGAAACCGTGGCTACGAATTTCTATATTACGTCTTTTATGGGAATTACCAAAAACATAAACGGCCATAGGATAGTTATTAATCAGAATAGGGTCATTTATTTATTTTACTAAAACGAAATTTTCAGAATGAAGTGATCAAAAACAGAGATGCCGTCTAGTGACAGCTCCTAACGGACAAACTTCGGCCTCACTTTTTGGCGTGATTATGTAACCTGCATACCAACGAATCTAAATACTACACAACTACTTTACAATAACGACGTCGAAAATGATATTTGATATGTGGGGCTAATAACAATAACCTATGTTCGATATATCAAAATTCTTACATGGCTACGGGTTTTTTTTCCAAAATTGTAAATTTTCTATGATTCTTTAGTCTGGTAATTAACTATGCTGGGGCCGTTTATGTCTGATCTCTAAACGAGATGTCCTCCTCCTACTTGGGTTTTCTTTCCTGTACTAAGTTAGAAATTATTTTGTTTTCGTTTCACTGCAGAGTAATTAGATAATAGAAGAGTTTACCCTCTACCAAATGATCAAACAGTCATGGAATTCTAAACGCTCGACGTTATGTATAAAACAATTAATACACTGAAATATTAGACCCAGCCTTAATTTTTGTCGTTTTTATAAAGCCGCCCAACCACAAATCATGGTGAAGACAACCTACATCCGTAGACAGATCCGCAAATGCAAATTTGAAGTTTGTACTTCGGTCCCCCAAAATGCTGCTTTGTATAAGCAATGTGTGGCATCAGTCTTCTTGCGCGAAAACTTTTATGTCAGGGAACGAAATTAAATTTTGTCGAGAAATGTACAAGGTCACACGACAGCGCGCCAAGATAGTAGACTTTTGAACCAAAATTCTAAACTATTAGGAGCAATAATGAAGTCAATATGGCTTGATAGCAGTTTTTAAAATGTAGCAGTTTAAAAACGTTGTCAGTGTTAGGGTGATAACAAGCTCATAAATCAAATGATAAGTAAAGTACGGCTAAATTCTGTGATCAAAATTCGCTGCGTTCACAAAACAAGTGACGTCAGGAAAAACTAATCGATAACGTAAGCTTCCGCTAAACAGATTACAACAAAATAACCGCAGTATCGCACATTTTTTCCTTTGAAAACAACAATTATATTTACCTTCCCTCCCCACTCCCTCCGCGTATTTCAATGGTCACTAACTTCTTTGTATAATCGTCGCAAGGGTGTCTAGCTTGCTCTCAGTCCTCATGGCCGAGGGGATTTTGGAAGGTGGCTGTACCGTTGCAGTTATGTCCTATGTAGCAGACATGTCCTCTGACGTAATGTGATATACGGAGCCANTAGACATGTCTGCCACGCAGGACGAAAGTGCAACGCTACAGGTGGCATCTGTGATAAACGCGCCGGAAATCTTCTACAGGACTCGTTCCCAGTCTCTATTCAGCTGTTACTCAAAGCCGACAAAAGACTGGGCGTGAAATGATGTCATTGCGAAGCTGAGGGTATGCTGAGAAGGATTATTTAAAACACTATCTTTTTTAAGACTAAAAACACTGCGTCCTTTTTTCTAAAATTAAACTTTGGATTAAATAAAACCTAAACTAAATCGTAAACACTCTTTTTCCTTGGCTATCGTAGCTTTAGAAGAAACAAAACACAAACCGCGTTTATCACCGCGATTTGTGTTTTGTTTCTTCTAAAACCTAAACTACTTAGATGACTCAGCATGCAGTTAGGTGCCATATTCTGACAAATATCTATTGAAAATTAAATGCTAGGAAGATATTCGCTCCCACTCTGAGATATTTTAGGACGTTTTTCAC